TATGATATATTGATATATGATATGTAGACAATTTTGTTCAATACCTAATTAAGATCTCTATCTCATTTCAAGCATTTAACATACATTTTTAACGCATAAGTAATATGTGCCATGCTTACCTGTACGTTATTGTTACACGCAGGTTATAAGTATCTGTAATGTTTACATCATATTACTGTATCGGTGTATATTATTGTTATAGAGCTAAATAAATAAAGTAAAAAGAAATCCTTATATGTCTTAAAAAACGAGCATTACTGACGTGTACCTAAGTCATTATTAAAATATATATAAAAAAGATATATTTAGAAATAGAAAATAAAATAAGTTGCCAATAATTTTTGCAACAAAATAACCTTCTTATCATTGAGGTTTGCTTTATGTTCTACGTAACCTCTTAAATTAGAATTGATCTAATAAGTACGAGTATATCAGCAGAATACCTACTTAGAACTAATGATATTCATAGCCATAAACAAATCTGCAAACAATTGCCACACCACAAATTAAAAAAGACTTTAGTCACGTTCTTCTGTAGTTTTAATTGTACAAATAGTGGTATCTAATTATATAGCTGTTTAATTAACAAACATATCATTGTAATATTTGTGTGTCATCGACTGCAAACCGGACCCGAGGCCGGATGCCTTCATTCATACTACCTTATGAAAATACGCATCGCGTCATCAGTGACCACTTTCACATTTTTTAATTTCCACCGCTTAGATGGCGTAGCGGGTTCTTCGGCGACAAATTTTGTCGTAATTTTTAAAGGGGTCAAAAACATTTACTGTAATTGTAATATATACCTAATATAACGTATAAAGCGGGTTCTAAAAGCAGGTCTCGACATGAATGTCAAAATGTTGATGTCTATAAAGCTAGCGTAGCCAAGTCATAAGGCCGTATTTTTTTTTTGCCCAAGAGCAGATTTTTTGTCATTGACATTTCCGAAAAACAATGGTCCCACTGACATCTGACTCGAACCAGCTCACAGTGGGGTCAAATCCAAAAATGTGGCAAAAAATCTAAAATTAAGTAACTGATCCGAAATTTCTTTCTCGGGGGTTTTAGTGGTCGCTGATTACGAATTAGATGTCAAATTAAAAAAAACCTTTCACCCTTAATTCACCACCCCATTGCACGAAATACCCCATTTTTTCTAACCCAATCAAGTTACATATAAAATTCAAGGTTTTTGGGGTTGCTGATTACGAATCCATAATTAAAATTAAAGATCTAGTTAATAAGTGGCTCAGAACTCGAGTGTCTAATACTTTACTTTATTTTACTAATAAATTCTTAAAAATGAACAGGGGGGTCCGGGGCAGCTAATTTTATTTTTATTTTGCAGCTAATACTTAAAGTTACAACCAGCAGGCTTAATGACCGAATACGACAGAACATCATAACTTTTCTTTGAAAATTTTTTTTTTTTTCGATGTTAAGGACTAAAAAATCAACAATATATAATAAATTACAAACTTGACCCACTAGTGCAACCTGAAGAATAGTGGTTTTGGACTCTAGGGGCATCTCTTAAGCCAACTTTATAGAAAAAAACTTTATTTATATATATATATATATATATATTTTTTTTATTTTTTTATTACCAATTATTTGTTTACCAAATAATTATTTTGCGCACGCAAGATTATTTGAGGGAAAAGTAGGTATGCGCACCAAAGTATCGTTTAACTGATCCATACCTATTACTTTTGCTTTATTTATGTTTAAGACTACTCAGAAGAGTAGTAGATTATTGAATAATTATTTATTTCTGAAAAAAAAAGAGTGAGATCTCCTTAGCTTATACCATTAAAACCAGTACTTATAATTCCGACTCTGTTCTCAGTTGTTTAATAGATAATGATTGTGACATATAATATAACTGACTTAATTTATCACTTTGTAGTAAAAATCGACTGTCACTTTCTCCGTAATACAGTTATCCCTTAAGATCATTCCAAATGTAACAATCTTCCCCTAATTATGTTTTATAATTCTGAAAAAAATGATTAACTCGACTTGAAAAAGAAATAACCTAAAAAGTTTCGATTAGTTAAATCATATTTTAGAATGCATTATTTATTAATCAAGCAGTGAGCTACCATAAAATTTGATTAAAAACAGAATCGGAATTTTAAGTACCTACTGGTTTTACCGATATGACCAAAGGAGTTCACATAACCTATATTTTTATCGGAAATAAGTAACTATTAATAATTATATATTAAAATAATTTGGGCATGGCACTTACTAAATGGCTTACATAAGCTCTTCTGAGCAGTCTTAAACATGTTTATGTTATGTGTAACTAAAAGTAATAGGTACGGATCAGTTTTTTTAAGACTACTCCCGCACTAGGAATATATCCTGTGACGCGGGGAACTTCACAAACATACATGAAATGGACATAAATAACACTCAGACTCAGAACGACAGCTGAGTGTTGTTGGTTCGAACCAACAACACTAAGCGTAGTAGGAGGCGGCGTGGCGACCGCTTAAACCACTACGCCATCCGTGCAGTTTAAAACGATACTTTGGTGATTAGTTCACATGCATAGCGTAAGGTGTGCTATACCTACTATTCCCAAGCGTGCGTGCGCATAAGAAACAATTTTGTGGTAAAATAATAGCATATAATTAGCAAAAAAATATGCCACGAAGCCTATTGTTATAAGTGTAAGAGATCCGGAGATATAGCGATGGTTACGCTTGCTTCAGTCTCAAGTCAGCAGGACCATTGTTTTTCGGAAATGGCTATGGCAAAAAAATCAATTCTTTGGCAAATAAATAGCAAAAAATATGGTGTAAGTTTTATTACGGCCCTATGACTTGGCTACGCTACCGTCATAGACACAAAATGTTAAACAGTAGAGAAGGTAGTAGATTTTAGATCAGAATTTACTGCACAACATATTACACAACATTTTACTTACTTACTTACTTTTAATAAATATTTTTAATTTTAGTTACACAATACCTTTAAGATTTTTTAAAATACTTCATAGTTTTAATGTTAATGTAATGAATCTATTTGAATGTACACGACCTATCAATAGTTTCAAAGCCTTTTCAATTGTACATATTTTAAGATTATTAGAGAGATAAGATAAAGGTATTTAAGAAAAGATTCTTAGATAGTTAGTTTAATAATTTAATTCAGAAACTACGCCGTCTTGATTATATAATTTCCTTAAATGTATTGTAATTCATCAAAGAAAAGTTATTGAACTCTCGCCTGCTCTATTTAATTTATTTTTATTTGAAATTGAGTACAAACCTCTCTTTAATTTCCAATACGGCTAGATCTTTTTTCATAGTGTTATCTGTATACATATACTTTAAAATAGACACAATTTACCTTCACACAACGCCATCTAGTCCCCAACTAAGCAGAGCTTGTACTATGGGTACTACACAACTAATATAAATACATATATTTTTTTTTTCTGTAAATACATACATATTATACATAGAAACACCCAGACCAAATCAAACATTAAAAGTTCATGCACACAAATGTTTGACTTAAGCAGGAATAGAACCCGCGACCTTTGGCATAGCAGTTGGTTACACAAACCACAACGCCATCCGGTCGAAATGATTTTACTGATGTACACTTACACTCTGAATCTTCTTTTTTAAATAGGTATGGTAGAGCGTTAAATCCGGCCACTGGATGTAGGTTAACAAGTGTCCAGTGCGTTAATGAGAAGTGGCTTGTGGTTAGTCCCAGTGAACCGGCGTGCGGTCCCGCGCCCACGTTCGGAAACGGCGCGCTCGCCGCTAGCGAAACGTCCGCACCGACATTAGTATGCGACCGAACACCGCATCACAACTTTCTCGACATTCTTGCCAACAACTGGAGAAATGAGCGCCATCGATACATTTATTTATAGCCTCTTTTATTTACCAAAACATTCATTGTATTGTATTTCTTTACTATGGTTTATTAGTGTTGTTATATATATGTTATATATGTACATATAATTACAAGGAAAATAAATAGTTTCAATATTAGCAGGAACTACCTGTTTTTTTAGTTAATTATCAGCATCTTGTATAAAAGTTCTCTTGTTCGTATCATTAGAGCGAGAGAGTGTATAAAATAAATCGAAAATATATCGACAATTCAGTTTTTATATCAACCATTATAAACTTCTCCTTTTGTTTCTATCCCATAGTTTTGGAACGAAGTTCCTTATCCTTGTGAAAGGGGGCTAGACGGAAAAAATTCGTACGAAAATTTGGAATGACACTTTTTTATTAATATAAATTGACGTCTAACTGTGGATACCATACATTAAATTTGCTTTAACGTTCGCCAACGTCCATACCATGTTGAATACACCGGTTCTCGTCCGATCACCGAAGTTAAGCAACATCGGGCGTGGTTAGTACTTGGATGGGTGACCGCCTGGGAATACCACGTGATGTTGGCTTTTTGCTCTTTATTTTCGTGTCATCTTGTCAGACATTCAGCGCCATCTATCGAATAGATAGGAAATCATTTCGCAAGGAGATTTTACCAATGTATAAATTGTTTTAATTGTTTTTAATATGTAGTTAATAGCCGCTTTCATAGATGGCGTTGTAATTAAAATCGTGTCAAATCAGTTTTACTCGATCGTCACAACTTCGTTCCTATCGGGTGTCCCACGACACCACACGGCTTTTCTCATTATTTTTTTCTATCTGTATTAAACAATTTTGTGTCAGTAGCATAATTCAGAATCTGATCTCTTTAAAGGATAATCACTTTATTTTGTTTGAAAAAATTCGGCCAAACAAATTAATTACGATTTGCACACACTTATAAATTAATATACAAACAATTTTACAAGGATTTAATCGGCCTCTGTAGAAATCATAAGTGGTTGACTATTATTGATCTCCGCGTGACGCATTTGATGTTAACGCAAACTAGATTATCGGCAAAACTTATGTTTTTATGAATTGTTGAGTGTTAAACGTATCACGTAATTATTTCAGGTGGCGATGGCCGGCGACTTCATCCTCGCCGTGGCGTCGATGATGATAGCTCGCTTGCGCAGCGATGAAGTCACACTCGTGCTCAGTCAGGTATTATCACATTTTGGTACAGATTAACAAATTAAGTAACACATTACTATGACTTTATAATGCTAGGTTAAAGACATTTTTTTTTGATAGAAAGAATGTCGGACAGTAGCTATTAAAAGAGGAGAAATAGGGTACTACCCGTTCTAAACAGTAATCAAGACTAGGGCTCCGAATAATCTAAGAAACTACAAAAAACATTTTTTTACATAATAATATAATGTATCTTAACATAAATAAAATAAAAGCAGGTTAGTTACACCGTTTATAAGTCAAGAACGACTGGCTTGATTTATTTTATGGTCTCCTCCTCTAAAAGCAGAATAACTACTATAACATTTTAAAACATTACGAAAATAAATAAAAAAAATTTTTTTATACACTGTAAGAAAAACAAAACTGGCTAGAAGCTGTTACTTAAAAGGCAAGTAAAACTTCGAGGAACTGTTTTTTTTACCTGCATTTTAATACATGCATATAATACTGGGTCTAATAATAGGGATGACCAATAGGGATGACCTGGTTTTGACAGCTCATAGCGGCCATGTTTGATGATGAATCTTTGATGTCTCTTGACATTTGTGTTCAGTAAGGTTTTCCATTTTATCATGTCACGTTTCACTTTAAACCAACGCTTGGAAATTGACCAAAATTATTACGCAAATTCGCTTCGCGCAAAAAACGGTCGTCATAGTGCTCCTTCTGTGCGCGCTATAAATCGCATAATAACAAAATTTGAAAGTGAATTCACTCTCCACGATACTGCTGTACCTGTGAGACAAAGAAATGCCCGTAGTGAAGAGAATATCGCAGCCGTTCAGGCCAGTATTGATGCGAATTCAAATCGATCAGTTCAACGCCGTTCACAAGAGTTGGGGCTCTCTCCAATGACCACCTGGCGTATTTTGCGGTTGGATTTGGGCCTACACCCACACAAAATTGTTTTGGCAGAAGAATTGAAGCCATCCGACCATTGTATCCGTCGTGAATTTGCCCATTATGCACTGGAAATGATGGATGCCGATGACGATTTTCATCGTAAAATCATCTTCTCAGATGAGGCCCATTTCTGGCTCAATGGATTTGTTAGTAAACAAAATTGTCGCTATTGGAGTGAGTCGAATCCACGTGTGGTTCATGAATCACCATTGCATCCGCAAAAAATAACAGTTTGGTGCGGTGGAATCATTGGTGCGTACTTCTTTGAAAGTCACGAAGGAAACCCTGTTACTGTGAATGGCGAGCGCTATAACTCGATGTTAACCGAATAGTTCTTTCTGGAATTTGATGATATTGATGCAGACGACCTTTATTTTCAACAAGACGGTGCACCACCTCACATTACTCGAGTGAACATGGAATTATTGCGTGGAAACTTTGGTGAGTCGTTAATTTCGAGAAATGAACCGATCAGTTGGCCACCAAGATCGTGTGATTTAACACCTTTAGACTATTTTCTTTCGGGTTACGTTAAATCTAAAGTGTACAGCTATAATCCAGCTACAATTCGTGACCTAAAAACCAACATTTAACGAGCCATAGCCGACATACCGGCCGAAATGATGCACCGCGTCATCGAAAAGCGGCGTGAGCGGGTGACCGTCTGCAAAAAGAGCCGCGGCGGTCATTTGGCCGATATATTATTTAAAACATAAATTGCATAAAATTATCTATCAAATAAATCAATCGGATGCATTTTTCATCAAAAATTGTGTGTTTTATTCATTTTTTAAACCAGGACGTTCTTATTGGTAGACCCCATGTATGCATATACCAACAAAAACTAACTACTACATTCATGTTCAAATTGATGTGTGTTACATTAGTTGGAAAACTGTCACATCGTTCCAAATAATGTTCATTATAATTTTAAGGTTACGTATTAAGCTTTCCACCCTAGTTATATTCAATTAAATTCGTAATTACCTGTCGTAAAGTCCAGTCCCTTGTCGTTTTTGTCAACCTAGACACTGAATTGTTATCTATAAATGTACCTTTGTACGTTCTGAAGGTTATTCATAAGACTATCGACTATTACATTGACTTATAGAGACGGTAATTGAGTAGAAAAAGATGTTCCGATGACATTCTTTAAAAAAAAGCAGAATGGTTAATGTTAACACATCTATAAGGTTTTTACTACCTATTTCTTACGTATTAGCGCAACGATCTTAAAAAGGTATCGCGTAACTATGCCACTGTAATATGTTGTATGCGGTATATATACGTTTACAAAAAAAAAAAAATTAGTTCGTGAAGTAACTTTATTATTTTTATTGTCAATAACACACTTAAGTAAAAAAATATATATAATATGTGCACCAGAAAATAAGTAATTGAGACCAATGCAAAAATAATATAATAATTAATACAGAGGGCAATGTTTTATGACGCAAATAAACCACATTTGTGATGAGCCTGAAAGAGAATACTTAATGTGCTGTAATATAATTTAAACGCGTTTAATGCGTTAAATGTTCCGTTACTATTCTATGTCGTCACTTCAAACATTGTGATACTACCATTCAGAGTTGCTCGAACAGAAGCAAGGCGTAATTACCTTAAGCCTTTTGAGAGATCGTATGTGTTAGTATACAATTGGGGTCGCACGTTAGTTTAGAATATTTACTCCTTTATAAGTAGGACAGTAGATGGACCTCTAATTTATGCATTATTTTTATAAAATATATATTTATATATTTGCATGCCTTTTAATTTCTTTAATTAACGTAAATATAACATGCAATCAATAACTTACTGTGTTTTTTAAATATAAGACTACTTTGTGCTAAAAGACTGCAATGTTGATATCCAAAGTTGTATAGCGAAAAATACTTATTTATTTCCTACAAAGTTTGTGTTAGCTTTTATTCGTTGAAAGCTGTAAAGGTAACGAAAATCAAGGCTATACAATCTACTAACTAACCCAACTATAAAAGAAAACCATTGACGACAATTAAACCAGAAACTGAGATATTAAGATTACCTACATCTTAACTCTACTAATCGTTTCTATCAATTAAGTAATGATATCTCAAATTAAAAAGAAAACATCTAATTCTGCCATAAAACAACATACTACTTGACTATCAAACGAACCTCGTTTCTTTCAATCTAACAATGGATTATGAATTTGAAATAAGGTATCAAGAAATATTTTTTTGTAATGAGCAATATATTAATATATTATATCATAACGCATTGCTGCTTGTCTTTCATTAATTCATTTAATTCAATTCATTTAAAAAGTTATTACATAACAATAACTGTTGTCTAAATTGTCTAAGATACATAATTTTTTTAAAGTGATATCGAACGAGTGAGTCGTAAGGCATTCAGAGTTTTTATTAAAATAAAAACTTACTTACTTAAATAAATAGTACTATCATGCTATATTCGTTATGGTTTAATCGGTTATAAATACGGTTTGCTACTACGCTATTTCGGCGCAGAGTGGCACACCGTGTGGTTTTAGTCGGTTCAATTGTGACACACTACACCACAGCAATACCCGGTCTGGTGAAGGCCCGAGGGGATTTCCTTACGTAGTACAAAGGTGTCCTTACCATACAGAACCACCATTTTCTAGGAATAAAATATCTTAGTGTTTGTTTAAACTAGTTATAGTTGTTTTCTTGCAGGTGGTGACAGACCTTGTACAAGGAGAGTTTATGCAGCTCGGCAGCAAGGAAACAGAGAACGAGCGTTTTGCACATTACCTCACAAAAACATACAGGAAGACAGCTTCACTCATTGCCAATTCTGTCAAAGCGGTAATATTTCTTATTTATAATAATAACTTTTGGACCATTATCCAGTAGATTACTCGAATAATAGGCATCTTTGTATAAATGGGAAGTTTACAATAACTTACAGGGCTGACTGTAGTAATTGCCTTGTGTGAAAAAAAACCTTGGCCGTGTGGTTACGGATTAAGAATACCGAGTGTCTTTACCCTTAGTCAGTTGTGTTGTGTTGTAAGAGCCGACTAAGGGAGCAAACTCTGCAGGACAACAGCACTGCAAAGAAAAGGAAAACTTGAAACAAGCCCTATACCAACCCGTCTGGCCAGTGTGGTATTTTAGGCCAAAATCTCCTTCCTAAGGAATGGTTTATGTCCAGCAGTTGACTATTAAAGGCTGTTGCTGATGATGAAAAAAAAACACGTGTTGAAGTGATCGTTGGTGAATATTCAGTTTTCCATCTTCTTTAGAAAAATTGTAGATGTTCAACACGCAAAATTTTCACCCCGTCCCTTGGATAATTGGCACTTCACAACTTTGCGCTTTTCAAGACACTTTTTGCCACAATCTATCTGTGGAACAAATTATAGCATGCGGTATTGCTGGATCGATACGTCTTTCAAACTTCTCCCTTATGAGCGTACTGAACCTCAAAGGTCGGCAACGCATATGTGACTCCTGAGTTACAGCCGTTCATGGGCGGCGGTAGTCACTCTCCACCAGGCAGGTGACCCGTCTGATCGTTTGCCGTACCATAAAAAGGATGTCTGCGTCACACAAGCCTTGGTCCGTAGACGTCACGTAATTCTAAATATAAACTAAATAGAACGTTTATTTAATGTTACCATTTCGGTTAGGCTATGTTTAGTTAAGGATTTTAAAAATGCTGTCGGTGTGACGGTCTTGACGGGTCTCCATTTAAAAAAATTGTATAGTTGAAGGAGCCGGACGGACTTGTGAGACCGTCGGTCAATTCATTGTAAGCGCCACTCATTCGCCACTGGATATCGCTACGATAAAATTGACATACTTAGATGTACCGAATGAATGTACAGAATTGTTTGTTATTAATGACTACCGTGATGTTATTATTGTATACAAGAACTTATAAGTTACCTTTTCTAGTATATAATAATATCCTAGATTTAAAAAATCAACATAAACAAAGATTTGTATTGACTCTTAGATGGTAAATGTAATAATGCACCTGTTGCTAAAGCTAGGAAACTAATTTACGTTGTAAGACAACTAAGAGATGTTGCTGATTTTCATTTATAAAAACGATATTCATATCATTGTGTCAATTCATCCTGGGAGGTTCTGCTGCAACACACTTGATTATTTTAGAAAGGGTTCGGCAATCAATTTTAAAGGTTACGCGAAAGCAATTTTAAAGGTAAGGCGATTGTACATATTCCAAGCCACCATTTGCACACATAAAAACGTGTTAAAATCCCCTGATTACAAGCAAATGCCCAGGCAAAGAATTTTCAAAGTACCTGTTCCTAGAAACAAATCTTCTTTGTCAAACCGCTCTTAAATTTTTTTGTGGTAGTCGCTTTCCATCAGGTGACCCGTCTGCTCTTTTTTTTGCCCTCTCTTCCATAAAAAAAAAAACATGTAAATCTGGACTTCAAATATATTTTTTGTTATTAAAAATATTTTATTTTATGTATTTAAAATTCATTTATTATTATTATATCATCACATCAACAGCCTTTAATAGTCCACTGCTGGACATAGGCCTCTCCTTGGAAAGGAGGTTTTGGCCTACTTTATTATTATATTATCATTTCAAAACCACCGGGACTCACAAAAGCAAATTTATGAATTATTTAAAAAACAACATGCATTACACTCACACCACATTAGTAGATACTAATGTATGTATATATACACAAACTGCACCTGTACGGAGCTAGTAATTAATATACTGACTTTTTTGTGTTTACTTATATCTCGTTTTCTTTCTTGCAGGTGGCCCTATTAAGCGGGGCAGACGAAAGCACAAGTGAATTGTGTTTCCAATATGGACGCAACCTAGGTCTATCGTTCCAGCTGGTGGATGACCTGCTAGACTTTGTATCTTCGGCGCAAGCAATGGGCAAGCCCACGGCCGCCGACCTTAAGCTTGGACTCGCGACGGCTCCTGTACTCTTTGCTTGCGAAAAGGTGAAATATTTTACATGTAATTGCTTTCACACACGCCCAATGTACTTGTTCTTCAGTTAAGGACTAGCTGGAGTAAAGTAATAAAGACATACAAACTGCATCCATTAAATTAATGTGTTCCGTGAGGTACAACTGTATCTACAGTACAAATTCTGGGGAACAAAATGTAAATACATTTTCGGCAATATATTTACAATTACATTGTTCATGTACATCTTCAGGTCTTCGAAGTTTCTATTATTGTTTAAATGTAACATGTTTTATAACTTCATTCTACAAATTGTTGTGTTTCACATTTTCGTAATTCTTGGACTTATGAGCGCAATGCTCTTTAAAAACTAAACTAAGCAAAAGTACATATTATATTTAGTAATGCGTATAATTCATAATAGTAATCGCGTATAGTTAAAGATTTATATTTTAAAATGTATGTATCCAAAGTGTGTGTTTAAAAAGTGATGAATTTTCTGAATAAGATAAAAGATGAATGAATATTGGACAATCATGTTTATATGCTGAATAGAATACTACTTGTAAAATTCGTAGATAAAGAAATTTTAAGGAGTATAATGTAAGATGTATTTATAAATTCATCTACAGTACGTATTTATTTTTATACGAAAAAAAAATGAACGGTCAAAGTTCGCGAGAATAATAAAATTATTTATTTCTCTATTGATATTTGGCATAGATATATAATATAAAATAGAACAAAAAATACATTCGAAAGGAGAAACTCAACAATTAAATAATAAATCGTAATAAATAAACTCCTGAACTGAAATAAGGCACACATTGTGCACTAAATGTCAAAACATTATAGACAAGTAGAATTGAAAAATGTATGAAAAAGAACAATGGCAGAAACATATTTACCTAAAACTTAAGCGTTTAAAAAATCGAGCCACAGTAAACTTAATCAATATTTTTTCTATGATTTATCATTACACTACCATGTGTTGTATAAGTCTTATAAGAAATAAGATATTTTTGCAGATTTTATTTGACCTAAGTACGTAATGTCAGATTCGCCATCACGTATAACTGACTAGGGATGCGTGCGATGCATTATATTATGGAACAATTTATCGATAATCGATTCTTATAGCTTTGGCTGAAATATTTACCGAAGGTTCACTATTATGATTATGAATTTGCTTCTGCCCACGTCTTCACTCGTACGGTAGAGTGACTGAATCAACATAATTAGAAATTATTTAAAATATTTTTGACTCTCTTTAAACGATTTTAAACACACTAAAGAAATAGAATATAGTTACGTTATTTTCCACTACACAGTGTGATGAGAAAAATACATTGTCATTGATAACGGCACATAAATAGACATACATCGATATTTTCAAAATGTCGATACGTCGTCGTTTAGATCCTGTCAAGTTCCGGACTCACCACGTTTGTTAATTTATTTTTGTTTAATTTAGTGTTAAACTCGAATAGATGTTATGCTTTTATTTATTTTTTATTTCATGTACTGTAATAATAATGAAAATAATATTTTCGGCTATCTGACACACAACGCCATCTAGTTTCAAACAAAACATTAACAATATGTTAGTACTTAACCTCGAAACATTCAAAATCCAATATCTTTTTTCCTAGACTTCTTTCGCAAGTAATTTTGATATGAGAATGGTCAAGAATAAATTCTCAAGTGTTAAGGATTTTTTGATATTTAAACGCTAACATTTCAGTTCAAATAAAATTATGTATGGGGACCTGCCATTGTCCTTTAAAATGTAAAATACTGCGCGAGTAATAGTGTTTTACAAAGTGATAAATGTTTTTGTGTTTTTAATTTAGGTATTTAGCGCCAACTACCAAACGACAAATTTTCATATTTGATTTCCAAATCACATATAAACAGATAAATATTTTATTCAGATCTACTCTGCACTAATGTATTTGGTATTTGACTTAAAAGAATGAAACCGGTTGCCCTGCCTCAAGTCACTGAGCTCGTACCATAACGAGCGTTTACACATATTTGCGTAAAACTACTGATGCAATAAGTATGTTGGGCCACACGGGGTCATTTGCACAGTATTGCAAAAAAGATTCACATTTTAGTATGTGTGGCATCTGTCGGCTTTATTTCGCAGAAAAGGGGGGCAGCATTCCGTAGGTATATAGAAGATTAAATCAGTGAAAGTTAAACGATACCGTCCCGTCTGTTTTTTGTCAATTTATTGGTGATATGTTCGAGGTCTAGGTTTGTGTTGCGTTTAATAGCGGATTTATTAAATTACACAGGCTTATTCAAGCATATCTTATGATTAAGATAAAGTGAACATTTAGTTTATGATTTTATGAAGGTTTGTTCTAAATGTGTAACAATTATTATTGTAAAATAAAACACTAATATTAAAATTTTAATGCTTATACTTTTCAAATTTTAATTTGACGAGATATTTCGAGAGTCCCAATTACGAAATGGTGTGTTTTGCGAAACATATTTATGCCTATTTCCATTTTGTTCTCTATTTTATGATGGATTAACGAAACGATTATAGAATGGTATGAGTTAGTCTTGATTTAGTTCACTTTTACACAGAATTGTAATTAAATTATTGCAATTGCTTTTACAGCAATATCAAAGCTTTAATTAAGCTTTGATATTGCTGTAAAGAATTACCCACAGAATTAAGCTGAAACGTAACAAAGCGGTAACATATATTTGGTTGGTGTTGCAGTACCCAGAGCTGAACCCGATGATAATGAGGCGGTTCCAAGAGGCCGGTGACGTGGAGAAGGCGTACGAGCTGGTGCACAAGTCGCGCGGCCTGGAGCAGACGCGCTTCTTGGCGCGCAAGCACGGCGCCGAGGCCGCGCGCCTCGCCGCTGAGCTCGCCGACTCGCCCTACCAGAAGGGGCTCGTCGTCACCACCGACCTTGTGCTCAACAGGATCAAATAGTACTTTGCGAACTACCACTAGTATATTCTACGAAAGGCATCCACAGTTCTGTCGATCGCCGGTGACGCGTCGACCGCCAGCCCCGCGAGCGGCGGTCGCCGCCCCGTCATCGAGGCGAGATTGGATTTTCAAAGTAGTCTTCGCTCATGTACTGTGTCTTGAAATTGATGTAAGAGTACCTCCTTTGACGGGTCTACCGATCGCGCCGCCCTTTTCGCGAAAAGCTCGGCGCGCGAGACCCGAGAATTCTGGATACCTTTTCTGAAAGGCGACGGACGTCATATGTTTAATGTAGTGCGTGTTCGGTGCGCGGGGCCGTCGAAATGTGTGAGCGAGTGAGTGCGGGAGCGACGTCTATGGCGTACACTACGCGAAGCTGTACCGTGTGCCCGGATAAATTATGCTAAATTCGTCTACGTGAAATAGTAAACTATGTAGCTCATCGTTATATTATTGTAATCAGTCGAACTGATTTTCAAATAATTATATGTTACATAATTTTAAAGTATATATTTATATTAGTATTTATATAAGTATTTGTACTTGTGTCCTTCACTTGTGTGACCTGATTTATTTTAAGATGTTTGGGTGTACGTGCCGTGCACACGTGGGCAACTGACTAGACGAGCTGTCGCCGAGGTGCGTGTATGTGACTACTCGTTACCAAATACCTTGTACATACGTGTACTATATTGTTATGCTCAACTGATTAACGAAATATTGACGATTACGTTCTTTTTACTAAGTATGTGACTTTGATATTATTGTATATAACTTCGTAAGGTTTTGTGCGAATTTGTTTTATTCATTCTTTTACTTTTGTATCGTGCAATGTTTATTTAGTTGTAGAGATAGAAAGTACCTGTGTTTTTTTGCACATATATGGTATAGAAGATTCATCACAAAATTACTAACGGTCTGTTCTACGAGTTGATTGTTTGTTTCTTTTTATCGTATGTTATTATATGGTGTGTAAATACTGAGAGTCATTGGATAAGTTACCCGTGTTTTATCTTCAAAACCAATTACCTCAATTTCCTTAGAGTACACGTAACATACTAGAGGTATTCGTTATATTCTGAAGTAGTATTAAATTTAAGTATTTTCCGAGGCCGCACAACTTTAGAAAAAAATGTTAACGCCCTCTGGGAAATTTCGAGAACTTCGTTAGCCAATTAGTACATATTACATTTGTAAATAATACTAACAATTATATATATTCAGTGTAACTGAGATTTATTTCGAGAAATGGGATGTCAGAAAACGTAGAGGAATGCACCATCAGCGTAGTATACTTAAAAACTTTTCTTGGTTATATTTAACGAAATATCAGTCAATAATAGGTTAAATAGTATAAGGCTGTCACAACGATTGATACGGAATAAGCCAAATTGGAAACTTTTCCTTAGTTCTATATATTATTCAAACATATCAAATGAAATTAATTCAGAATCCAAATTGATTTTGAGTGAATAAAATTACATTCGTCAAACATTTACTGTATTGTAAAAAGGTTTGTCTTTAATGGTTGTATGATCACAAATCACGAAAATTAACACTAAAAGTTAAAATTAAACCAGTCGCTCTTAGCAATTACAATTATGTTTGCTATGAAAACCATAAGTCTAATTAACTTCACTTCAAAAACAATCCATACTTTCAAGAGTTTAGAATTCGTGAACAGAATTTACTTGAAGAGCTGGATTTTTACTAACAAAAGTGTTTTATTTAGAAATACCATAACCTAAGGTCTTTTATTTACCTTCAAGTACCTGCTAACAGTAAAATACTAACGTCTTATAACTTGAACGGCGTTTAAGTATTGGCCCACAAACCTTTAATTACTCGTATAAACTAATAAAAAAAATTAGTTTAATGCCAGTAATTTATTTTAATGAATTATTCTTATTTGTATGTGTCCGTGTTAGATTCTACAATTCATGAAGCAATGTGTGCGTAAGGTATACATGTCTAAGCAGTGTTTTAATACACAGTTTCAGTACATACTATAGTTACGCTCATTCCTCAATTAAAAAGTTATACAGGCAACGTATTTCCATTGTTGCTTTTGATCCGTCTGCAATACGAGTTGTAATCGCCGCAAATGATCGGTCCTTCCATGAAAACAGATATTAAATATAATTTCGGGCAAGTTTTCGATTGACGTGAATATGGTTTACCCGGAAGATGAGTAATTGTAACACGTGCTTGTTCAGGTTTATTGCACATTGGTAATGTATAGAAGGAATATCATGTCTTGGTCGTTGTGTCAGCTCATACAGTAAATGGAGACGGCGATGTATGTTCTTTGTACATTAAAATGTTAATCAATGGGAGTCAATGAATTTTATTTATATGTATGTATGTAGACATACTGTCATAGATCATATGTTTGTAAATATTATTACTCTGTAAAATGGTAAATCATGAATAATTTTTAATATAAACATTAGTTACAAAATATTGTTTTATTTAATTTTTTTACGTCAACATCATCATTATCAATAGGGAATATGCATGTCTTTTTTTTAACGTTTCTACTAGTTTTTAGGTTAAAATACCCGAAATATAAACCATTGAGCTAAAACAATTTACAAAAATCATCATTTTGGCGTGAGTTCGATGTCAACAACGAAATGTTTGATTCACAAAGTTACTAAAAGTTTAAAAAGTGAGTGATGAAATCACCTTATTACCATGGAAAAGCCCAGAAAAGTTTATTATGAATATTGTGTCTTTCCCACGTGCCAAAATGACATCAAACCGCACCTGAAAAAGTATATTTCCTTATGCCATAAGATACAGGTATGAGGAAAAAGTGGTGCAAAGCGATGAGAAGAGACAATGCATCATGTTTTGGCTGTTTATACTGTGGTGAAAATCATTTTTACTAATAGTCTATCTAATCTAAGAGGTACCGTTTGACAGTTGTGACAGTATAGCGATGGGGTCTAATAAATCGATTATTACAATATCCGATTATTTGGAGATATCGATATCATTTCTTAGTATGTACTAATCGAATACCTACAGTTTTACAGATTTTTGCATGTTACTATAAAAGCCCGTGTAATAGCATATCATAGGTTTACCAGTAAACATTAGTAAACACTAGACTTACACACGAGCGATTTTGCCTATAAAGATTTGTTTAAAATAACATTCACTTACATAATTTTAATTCTAATTATGCGTTTTCGTTGACGCTAAGACGCCTGAATTGAAAATGTTTCGTTATTAATAAATTTTCGTACATTTTAACTATTATTCGTAATCAAGTGAATTTGAAGAGCCTCATCTTCAGGTGATGGTGCAGTGATATTTCAATTGAATAGATGTTTGATTCATACCAATAGAAAAACCTACCTACCTAATATATATTACATTTTTTCATATGTAGTTATTAAACGGAGTCGACAGTGCTCTACCACCTGGATCTGGTGGCTATGAAAGCCGTGGTGCTCGTGGACACAGAGAAGCGGCAAGACTCAAGACCGAACACGATTGAGGATTACTGTGAACGTCTTCTGCCCCATCACGGGGACATAGGACATTAAGTTAATCTAGCAAAGGCAGGTGGTATTAATTACCACAGTTTTAATGTTTTTGTATTTTGGGTCACTAAACACCTTTTTTTTCGAATTACTTTAAAAAACAATTTATTCTTTTTAACTAATTCAACAAATTACGAAGTTTTTGTTTCTCTATTATAAAAATTTATCATTATGAACCAAATGATAAATCATTAAATAATTTAATCACTTGTTCGTATTTTATTATAACCTCAACCAATTTTAATAAATTTAATATATATTTTTTTGCAATCTTAGGCAAAAATAACAATTGTATTCTAACTAAAATTCTCTATATATTAAAAACCCACCCCTGGTCGCCACAGAGTACATTGTAATTGCTGGTCGCTGGTTAAATAAATATCATAAATCGGTTAATTCGTGTCTAGAAATCCTTGGGCCATCTTGCTTGAAATGACTCAAGAGGCGCCGCTAAATTGCAGGGAGAATGTAGATTCGCTTTGTTTAGCTACTTAGAATTAATTATATATCAATATATTAGCATCATATTAAATGGAAATGAATCTAGTTTTGTTTTTAAAAAAATATTATATTTTATGCTTACGAAACAAATTTATAGAAAATAAATATCGAATTATGGAATAGATAAGTTCGATCTCTCTTTTTATTTTCGTTGTGGCTATTATATTTTAGTAGTTACAACGGTTATTGTTACAAAGCAGCGGGCACAGTTCCGCGCAGGTCAAAGTGGTGGGCGCGTGCTCGGATGTTTGACGTAAATATAGTAAAATCTATTGTGTATAAATTTAATGATTTTTTTGGGAATAAATTATTCATCATTGTCAACAGCCTATGCTGGACTGGCTTGACTCCATTCTAAAGAGAGGCCTGTGTCCACTGATGGAAATAGTGCTCTCCTTAGAATTGAGGTTTTGGCCTACTATACCACGCAGGCAAGACGGGTTCTCATAGGGTTTGTGTCAAGTTTTCCTACTTTTTGCAGTGCTGTTGTCCTGCGTAGTTTGCTCCCTGAGTGGGTTCTTACGACGTCGGGACGAATAGGGGTGGTGACACTCCGTATTCTACACGGGTTGACCTCTATCAGCTTTAGAATAAACAAGCCAAAACAATGCCATGTTAATGCAATAAATAAAATTGGTTAAACGATAGAAAGATTATGACCTGATTTGCTCAAAGTTTAGGATTATAGATATGCAAAGGGCAAAGATAACGATGAAAGGGTATTATTAGTACTAAATCGACATTGGCTAAGAGACACTATAGATAGTTACTTGGCTCCTCATGTGTATAATAAATATAATAACAAAATTAGTAAAGTTACGTACTTTAGATATTTATTAATACTAAATTCAAAATAGTTTTATCTGCGTGGTTAAAATCCATAGATTACGATGATGGTGAAAACTTATTAAGGAATTAATGAGTTCTATGTAGCACAGGATATAA